ATGTTGTTTGAACAGGTTGTAAATATTGAAAATGCCTCCAAGTCAGCCTCCACAACTCTACACTGGTCCCCTCAAATGCCGCTGCACTTGGATAGTATTTTGTTATCAAATATGTCCCTTTATTCAGGAATAGACCAAGTCCTTCGAAAGACATCTATGAGGTGTTGTTGCATCACTGGGTCAGCTTGCCTCTATCGAACAAACTGTACTAGTGAGTCATCGGTGTCACAAACATCACTATCCTCATGACTGTTCCTCTCTTCTTCTATAATTTCAAATGTTGGTGGGTCAATACTGGATGCGCAAGAATCATCATCAGACCCATGCTCTCCCTCAAAACTACTTTCTTTCCCTTTAGACTTGGAAGGGGTGTTCTTATTATCACTTGCACTAGCTGTCCGAGATCTAGTCGCATGGGGGGAGTGTGGCTCAATCTCTGTGTTGACCTAGACCCCAGGGCTACTAGGAGCTTCCTCACTCAAACTTTGTTCTGGAGAAGCAGGGGGTGAGATGTGCAACAATGTCGTCTTGTGCCTTGGTTTTTCCATTGTACTTGAGAGACAAAAAAATAGAATCCATGTATACCAAACGACAACACTAATAGGTACTCAAATTCCCCTCTATATTTATACAAAGTAACACTTTGCCTTAAGTATGTCGTCACTCAATTTATCATTGGGAAGGGCAACGCACTGAATAAAGAATGAATTAAAAAAAGAATTTTTTTTGGTATTTTAAAAATTATATATATATAAGGCTCTATACGGTCCGTGGTAAGTACCACAGCCGGTCTAAGCCATCGTGAAACCTGGCCAATGTGTTCTAACCTTCTAAGTGTGGTTCACGAAGGGTTTCATGCCCCGTGCACCCTTGCACGGTTGAAACCTTCGTGTACTGACACTTTGGTTAGGTTTTGACTCGAAATTTCTAAGAACTCACATTTTCAAATTAATCAATCAAAAACACCCAAAAATGACTGGAAATCATCTAATTTCAACACATCCATCATAAATTACACATATAATCACCATCCAACATACCATCCACTACTTTCACACCCTTCCGTCAACTTACAAACCCACAAAATATTAAGAAAACCATGAGATGATCAATAATAAGTAGTTCTTATACTTGATTTCAACAACATCAAACTTATATCAAGTAGAGACTTAGGACTTACTTCAAATTGAAATTGAATTTTTGCACAAAGAGGGAAGGAGGAATGCTTGACTTTAGGAATTTCTTGAAATATAGAATTAGGGCTTGAACTCCTCTTTGATTCCTTGATATTGATATTAGAAAAACTCCTCAAGTTCCAAAAAGACGTTATGAATTCAAGTATAGGGGGAAAGAACTGGTCCTTTCACGCTTTGAAGCCTTTAATTTTAAAATATGGGTTTTGATCGAGTTTAGGTCGGGTCGGGCCAGGTATGGCACTGCCGACTTAACCTGAAGGGCCATGAAGTGGCTCGTGAAGAGCACCACAGCCCATAGTAGTGCTCATGAACATGACTCAGACAAGAAATCTTACATGCATGTTTACGAGAGGCTAAACGGTCCGTCTAGGATCAGACGGGCCATAAACCCTTTCGTGAACATTTATTGTCCTTATTCCAATGAGCTCCACTTCAGTTGGCTCACATCTTCACGGGCCGTATAGAGTGAAATGGCCCGTCTAACGGCTCGTGAAGAGCACTTCATGCTTCAGCTTTCCTACACACTTGCTCACACTTTGACCTTATATATAAGAATAATTGAAATTCATAGAAATTAAACTATTTATTATAATTACATCTTGGGTTGCCTCCCAAGTAGCGCACAATTAAACATCGCAACGCGAAGCAGGTTACTTAATTACTGAAACTTCATCAAGTTTGCACTCCTTAACTATCTCCACTTCTTCTATTGACCCCCATATATGCCTTGACTGACTAACCATTTGCCTTGAACTTCTCACCTTTTTCGTTTTCAAGTTCAATTGCTCTCGATTGAAACACTTGGGTCACATTGAATGGTCCAGACCATTTGGGCCTTAACTTTCCCGGAAATAGGCGTAGCCTTGTGTTAAACAATAACAACAAGTCTGCAGCACTGAAAGTCCTCTTCTCAATATGTTTGTCATGATACAGATTCATCATTTCCTTGTACAATGCAGATCTCTATAAGCTCTCAGTCAAAACTCATCCATTTCATTTATCTGCTCAAGTCGCATATTCGCTGCCTCACTCCAACTCAAATTTAGTTTCTTTAGTGCTCATAATGCCTTGTGTTCCAACTCCACAAGCAAACACTAAATGATATGGTGACATACCAATGGGTGTTTTGAAAGCTATCTGATATGCCCATAAAACATCATCTAATTTCCTTGTCTAGTTAGTTTTGTTGGCATTCACTATCTTCGTCAATATTAATATTATCTCCCTATTGGAGACTTCCACTTATGTACTAGTTTGTAGATGATAAGGCGTCGACACTTTATGATGTTTCACCCCTTATTTAGCCAAGAGAGTTCTAAAAAATTTATTGTAGAAGTGTGAGCCTCAGTTTTCCCTAGGTGTGCCAAACCTCGAGAAAATATTCTTCTTTAGAAATCCTGCAACACTCTTGCCATCATTCTCCGCCAAGGCCACAACCTCAACCCACTTGGAGACATAATCAACTGCCACCAATATATATTTTTGCCCGAAATAACTCACAAATGGTCCCATGAAGTCAATCCCCCAGACATCAAATAATTTGACCTCCAAGATAGCGGTCATAGGTAGCTCATGTCGGCGAGAAATGGCCCTTTGCCTTTGACACATATCACAACTTTAATCAGGTCGAATACATCTTAATGAATTGTAGGCCAATAGTATCCGCTTTGGAACACCTTATGGGCAGTGTGAGCACCCCCATGGTGCCTACCAACTAGAGATCAATGACAGGCTTCTAGAATACTACACATTTCAGCCTCAGGCACACGTCGCCTGATTATATTATTCACACAAACCCTGTCTAAGTAAGGCTCATCCCAAAAGTACGTTACCACATAATGCAAGAACATCTTCCTTTGTTGAAAATTCAAGACCTCAAGCATCAAGTCACTGACAAGATAATTGGCAAAGTAAGCGAACCAAGGAATGGAATCAAGAGTAACAGCTAGTACCTGCT